TTGGACCACAGGGGAGAGAGAACAGGACCCAGAGTGGCTGGGTTCCAGGGGTGTAACACGAAGCTCTGGGCTGGATCTCCTACAACAAAAATGAAAAGAATAAAAGAAAAGAAGACATCCTCAAAGCTGTAGAAGAGTCTGGTGCATGAGTACCCAGAACATAGATTCGAGCAGAAGCCTGTTTATGGTCATAGCCTTTACCTGGAGGGATCCTGGTGCTTCAAAAAAGTACAGTGACCACTGAGTGAGGGCAGTCATAGACAGAGCCAAAGTTAAACTGTGGAACCTTGGTGCACATGTAGTCCTGGCACTTGGAAGGAAGAGAGAGGAAGATCACAGTTTAAAGTCCACCTATTAGGCAATGAGAGCCTATCTCAAAAAGTCAAAGGTTGTACTGGAGAGATGGCTCAGTAGGCAAAGGCACTTGTAGCCACACCCGATGATCCAAGTTCAAGTCCTGGGACTTACATGGTGGAGAGAACTGACTCTGAAAGTTGTCCTCTGACCCACACATGAACTCCATAACATGCTCACACCCTACTTCCAATGATACACACTCATAATATACAAATAAGTAAATTATTTTTTAAATCAAAAGCAGGAGTATAAGTTCAGTAGCAGAATGCTTTCCTAGAATCTCCCAGCAATGGATGGGGGGTGGGGGTGGGGCTCAGCCTCAGAGTACCTGTCTAGAATCTCCCAGTAAGGGGCTTGTTAGTGGGGCTCAATAATAGAGCACAAATTGAGCATCAGCATTCATCTGTCTCTCTGCTTCCTGACTGGATGCAGAGATCAGCTGCCTCATACTTTCACTGCCATGTCTTTCCTATCATTATAGACTGTGCCACCAAACCGTGAGCCAAAGTAGCCGCCTCTTCCAGTCAGTTGCTTTTGACAGGTGTTTCATTACAATGACAAAGAATGTAATACAGAAACCACCCATAAAAAACAGCAGCTTTATTTGTAATAGCCAGAAGCTGGAAACAGCCTAGATGCCCCTCAACTGAAGAATGGATGCAGAAATTGTGGTACATCTATATAATGGAGTATTACTCAGCAATGAAAAATAAGGAAATCATGAAATTTGCAGGTAAATGGTGGGATCTGGAAAGGATCATCCTGAGTAAGTTGTCTCAGAAGCAAAAAGACACACATGGTATATACTCACTCATATAAACATACAACATAGGATAAACCCACTAAAATCTGTACATCTAAACAAACTAAACAAAAGAGAGGACCCTAACTAAAATGCTCAATCCCCATCCTGAAAGGCAAAGAGGATGGACATCAGAAGAAGAAAATAGGAAACAACCTAGGAACCTGCTACAGAGGGCCTCTGAAAACCAGAAGAAGAAAACAGGAAACAACCTAGGAACCTGCCACAGAGGGCCTCTGAAAGCCTCTGCCCTGCAGACTGTTAAAGCAGATGCTGAGCCTGATGGCCAACTGTCGGGCAGAGTGAATGGAATTTTGTGTAAGAAGTGGGAAATAGTAAGAGCTGGAGAGGACGGGAACTCCACAAGGAGAGCAACAGAACAAGAAAATTTGAACACAGGGAACTTCCCAGAGACTCATACTCCAACCAAGGACTATTCATGGAGATAACCTAGAACCCCTGCACAGATGTAGCCCATGGCAGTTCAGTGTCCAAGTGGGTTACATAGTAATGGGAAAATGGACTGCCTCTGACATAATCTGATTGGCCTGCTCTTTGATTACCTCCCCCTGATGGGGGAGCAGCCTTACCAGGCCACGGTAGAGGACAATGCAGCCACTTTTGATGAGAACTGATAGACTAAGATCAGAAAGAAGGAGAGGAGGACCTCCCCTATCAGTGGACTTGGGGAGGGGCATGAGTGCAGAAAGGGGAGGGAGGGTAGGATTGGGAGGGGAGGAGGGAGGAGCTTATGGGGGGACACAAAATGAATAAAGCATAATTAATAAAAGTTAAATAAAAAATTAAAACAAAACAAAACAACAAAAAACAAACAAACAAAAAAACAAAAAAACCAGGAGGTGAAGCCAGGCGTGGTGGCTCATGTCTGTAATCCCAACCCTCGGGGAGGCAGGGCAGCTCACTATGAGTTCGAGGCCAGTCTTGGTCTACAAAGTGAGTCCAGGACAACCAAGGCTACAACAGAGAAACTCTGTCTCCACAAAACAACAACAGAAGGATGTAGATGCTGGAGAGATGGCTCGGTGGTTAAGTACAACGGCTGTTCTTCCAGAGGATCTGTGTTCAAATCCTGCATCCTCATGGCACACTCACAACAGTTTATAATTCTAGTCCCATGGTATGTGCCAAGTTCTGGCCTCAGTGGGCACTGCATGCAGGTGATAAACAGACATCTAACCAGACAAAGCACCCATATACACAAAATGAAACTAAAGGAATATTCTTTTTAAAAAGTAGAAAGTTGATTTATAGATTGGAGAGCAGTTTTGAGCTGTATCTTCACTGGGTTAAGCCATGTCCCTCAGAGCGCAACATCTACTCAGAGCCTGAGAAAAATGGGAGGAGCAGAATCTTTGCAGGGGGGATTCTCCCAGCTAAGAGAAGCTTTGTTTGGGTCCCAGGACCTGAACCCGCCAGGCGAGTATCCTACGTCTGAGCTACATCACCACCTAAGAGGTCTTGAGTTCCAAGGGTTACCTGGACCACAGTGACTGCAGCAGCAGCGAAGACAAATCCCAAGAGCAGAGTGGAGTCTGGGAAATGGGACTCAGCTCAGCCCTTCCCCGGGGACTTCTAGAGAGTTTCTCTGTGGCTGAGCCCTGCCCTGATTCCTCACTGGGGAATTCTAGGCAAGTGTTCTAGCATAGTGCTACCTCTCCAGTCTTTTTAATTTGTTTTATTTTGAGACAGAGGTTCATAATATAGCCTGGGCTAACCTCAACTTTGTGATGCTCCTGGTTTAGCCCAGAGTGCTAAGATTATAGCATATACTATACCAACCAATAGTTTAACCCAATTTTTAGACCTTGATCTATCTTCTCTGTGTAGCCCTGGCTGCCTTAGAACTCGCTCTATAGACCAGGCTGGCCTCAAACTCAGAGATCCGCCTACCTCTGCCTCCTGAGTGCTGGAATTAAAGGTATGCACCACAACCACCTGGCTGAATTTTTAGAAGAATGGAATAGTATGGTTACTATTATAATATAGTATAGTAATATAGCTATTCTGAGCTGACATGGATTAGGTGGTAAGTTCCCTTGCCATTGGAAGCAGTCACAATAACCTAGATAACTATAAGGGAGGTGGTTTGAAGAGGGTTGAATCTGGGCATGGAAAATTAATAGCACAGATTAATAGCAAGAACTGTTCTTGCAGAGGACCCGAGTTCAGTTTCTGGCACACGCTGTGGGTGGCTCATAGCCATTAGTAACTCCAACTCTAGGAGAGCCAGCCACTCTTCAGGTGTCCAGAGGCACCTGCACTCACGAGGACATCTGACCTCCCCACACACATGCAAATAATCAAAATTAAAAAGAAACCTTTTATTTATTTATTTAGAAAGTTGAGGCCAGGCAGTAGTGGTGCATGCCTTTAATCCCAGCACCCAGGAGGCAGAAGCAGGCAGATCTCTGAGTTTGAGACCAGCCTGGGGATAAATTTCAGGACCACCAGGGCTACGCAGGGAAACCCTGTCTCAAATAAACAACAAGAAAAAAAAGAGTTGAATTAAACAACATATCCTGTCCCACCTCAAAATAGATTTTGTGAACACCTGTAATCCCAGTTCCCAGGATGCTATGGTAGGAGGATCATAAGTTTGAGTCCAGCCTGAGCTATATAGACAGACTTTATCTTAAAAACAATGCAGAGGTTAACAAAATTATGTTCAGAAGTCCAGTTTCCTGTGTTGAACAATCTCTGCTCTGAGGTTATTCAGGTCATTTCTCTAGAATATTACTTCATTTCTCTGCTTCTATTTTCGGATAAGAAAGTGTTGACCTGGCTGATAAGTGGCGATACTCAGTGGTACCCTCTGTCTCTCAGAACATCTTTGTAAGTTGTCTATTTCCTTCTCTTGGGAAGAAAATTGTTTTTCTAAAAGCTCCTTTGGGGCTGAGGAGATAACTCAGCCCCAAATAATAAACTACTTGCCTTGAGAACATGAGGGCATGAGATAGATTCCCCAGAACTCATGCTTCTCTTCTTTCCTTCCTTACTTTCATTTTTTTTTTCTTTATGAGACAGGGTTTCTTTGTGTAGCCCTGGCTGTCCTGGACTCACTCTGTAGACCAGGCTGGCCTTGAACTCAGAGAGATCCGCCTGCCTCTGCCTCCAGACAGCAGTAGAGGTGTACGCCACCACCTGGCCAGCCTTGGTGACGTGCATTTGCAGCCCTGAACTGGAGAGGTGGGGACCACCATATGTCCCTGGGGCTCACTGGCTAACCAGCCTACTTAACTGACGAGCTTCAAACTCCAGTGATACACCTTGCCCCCCCAAAACAAGTTGAGGGGCTGGAGAGATGGCTCAGCAGTTGAGAGCATGTACTCTCTTCCACAGGATCTGAATTCGGTTTTCAGGACCACATTGGGTGACTTATAACCATCTTTAACTCTAATTCCTAGGGATCCAATGCCCTTCTCTGCTCTCTTGTGCTCTCTCTCTCTCTCTCTCACACACACACACACACACACACACACACACACACACACACACACA